CTTTCCCTCTCTACTCGCCCTTCTACTTCTTCTTTTTCTTTTTCTTCTTCTTCTTCTTCTTCTTCTTCCTCTTCTTCTCTGGGAAAGTCGAACGGAACCTTACGAATTACTCCCCGGAGATCTCTGGCAGAGAAGAGCGGCCCTAAAGCCAAACCCCCCCCCCTTCCCTACACCGTCATCACCACCACCATCACTACCACCACCATATCACTATTACAAACACCATCACCACTGGAAGCAGCAATGGCAACGTCGGTCTGCCGATGTCGAAAACACGTGTGCGCCATGGGTTAGATACAACCAAGACCAGGTTGAAATCGTCTGACCCATTTGCAACGTCACCCGGACAATTTCCAGCCAGCAAAGTTCCATCTTCGGGGCTTCGGGGGACCGTGCGCAGGGAGCTCCTGTGATATTAGAACAAACGATTTCATTCTCCTCGATTCCGCCTACACCAAGAGAGACCAACCGTGTCTTCTTCTTCCTCCTCTTCTTCCTCTTCTTCTTCATCTTCCTCCTACCCTTGCCTTTTACCTTCTCTCTACTCTCACTTCTCCTTCGTATCCTCATTCTCCCTCTTTCATCCCTTTCTACAACGAAATTTCCTTTCCCTACGTCCTACCGAAAACGTACAAAATACGTTTCTGTACATGCGTGAACCAGCGTGTGTTTGTTTCCTAGTATCGAACGGCCACGTCCCACGACGAGGAGAATTTTCCTCGTCGTTAAATCTACTCTTTTCATCCCCTCCTCTCCTCCCCCCAAACCAACCATCAACCATACATCTAACCCCTCTATCTCCTTGGCTTCGAAATCTCATTGATTTCGTCAATATCGCAAGAAGATATATATATATATTTTTTTTTTTTGTTTTTTTTGTTTTTTTTCCTTACATTTTATCATTTCGAAATTTCGCATATCTCTTTGATCTCCTTGATCGTCATAATAGCGATGTATTATTTTTCTTTTTTTTTCTGTTCTTTTTTTTTTTTCTTTTTTTTTTTTTAAATACAACATACATCACGTACGTACGCCATTGGGAAATAATCGTAAATAATGTAATTGGTTGAAGGGGGGGATATTCAAGTTGTAATAATAAAATACTTGATTATAATTGTCGATATTAATCTGTATAATCCAAAGGAATCAAGTGGAAGTGCATTTGTGTTGCATCAGGAGAAATAGTAGTTGAAAGGACAACGACCAATCGCTCTTTCTCTCTCTCTCTCTCTCTCTTGCTCTTGCTCTCTCTTTGCTGGATTAAATACCCGTTCCCATTTTAGGTATCCACGATTACCTTTCCACGTGGCACTGGATAAATCGGAATTGCGTAATATCGTGCGCCCGAGTGCGCGCTCGCGAGTAGAATTGCGTAAAGGCAAATATGCAATAGACTACCTGAACGTCCCGTATTGTACGATTGTCTCCGTTCTCCGCTCCCGTTTCGCGGGAAATGCAAGGCAGGCATTTCCCGGCATTGTAACCACCCCGTCGAGTTCGGAGTATTGCCAGCCTCAACGTTTGAATTGCATTACCTATTATTGCTTATTGTTCGGCTCGCTCGCTTCGCATGCTACGATTCTCCTTCCCCACCTCCCTCCCTCCCTCTCCTCCCACTTGGAATCTACATTTCCCTACCAACTCCCACTTTCACCCTCCTTACTCTCACTCTTGCAACAACCCCAGAACCACCCGAGAACCATCCCATCCTCACCGCCCCCCTCAAACCCCATTCCGATTCTTTGCTATTTACGCTCTCTTTCTTTCTCTTTTTCTCTATCTTTTGCAAATCTAGTCTATCCTGCGTCTATCTCTCTTTAACATATATTTATCTTCTCTATTTTCTAATTAAATATTCTGAGAATAATATTGATATTTTTTATTAGCTCGTTATCAGATATTATATTCGTCCGTCGTGTAACTAAATGTGAACGTCGTTTTTGTATTTTTTTTCATTTTTTTTTTCTTTCTTTTTTTTTTTTTTTTTTTTTTCATTTATTTTATCCTTTAATATTCGACCAAAATGTGTTTCATTACACGTTAAATATGATCTTACGTAGATCGGATTATTAATTAGTTCATAGTCTTTGCTCGAGTAAACCTGATTTCGATCTCGGTAAGAACGAAGGACCACCAAACTTCGAAGGAAAAGTCTGAAAGCTCAGTCGTTCTAACTTCAAAGGTAAATGACACGGGAAATATGTATAATCCTCATGGTAGTTCGACCTTTGAACTGGAACGACGACTTACTGCACGGCCGTCAACGTTCTAACCAGCGTCTTCTACTTTATATACATACCTCTGCTCCCTCTCTCCCTCTCTCTCTCTCTCTCTCTCTCTCTCTCTCTCTCTCTCTATCTCTATCTCTCTTTCTCAAAATTCTCCTCTTGTCAGTTTTATGTCAATCTCGGAATAGAGCGGAACATTGTCGCTTTGAAATTGTGCGTAACTATGACGATAGTTTGGTTGGGTCGGATTGGCAAAATTAATGAAAATTCGGGACGCGAATTTTCGTCTTCAAAGAAGAAGAAGAAGAAGAAGAAGACGAAGAAGAAGAAGAAGTAGAAGTAGAAGAAGAAGAAGAAGAAAGGGGATGAGATGAGACGCAAAAGTGGAAAGCGGATATATTCGAGACGGTGTGCGTGCATTAGATGGAAGAATAGAAACGCTCTTCTAGGCCGGCAGGGGCTCGGCTAATCGTGACAAATACTGATCCGGGATTGCCGAATTATAAACTAATGTCTCGAGGAAACTTGTGACTCTGAAATGACTTTCCTACCTCTTTCCCCCTACCTCTTCTCGATTATGATACTTAACCATCCGCTTCTATGACCTTCGACCTTCGTCGTACATTTGCTATTATATATATATATATATATATATATATATATATATATATATATATATAGATATATAGAACAGACCGATAAAGATTTTCCTCGAAGTACAATTAAGGGTCTCCTTCTAATGTTCTCTTTCTCTCTCTCTCTCTCTCTCTCTCTCTCTCTCTCTCTCTCTCTCTTTGTTCAGCAATTCCTTTTTCGTTCTCTTGTTTTTCCCCTTTCACGAGTATTATTAATCAAAAAAGAAGAAAGAAAGAAAGAAAAAAGAAAAAAAAAAGAAAAGAAAAAAACACGCTATGGCATATTATTTTGCGTTTGACGAGCAATTGATTTAATTTTTAAACAACGACTATCAAAGTTTAAATAAATCGAGAAAAGGTCTGTTACACAGTAGAAAAACAACCTCCTCCCACCTCCTCTCTCTCTCTCTCTCTCTCTCTCTCTCTCTCGCTCTCTCTCTTTAGCCGGTAGAAAAAGGAAATTGGATGATATTTTCCTCAACGATCAAATCTTATTGCCAATTGAAAGAGGAAAAGTTCGCGCGGTACATTTACCCGAAGAAATCACCGTACGACCGGGGAGGGTGGGGATGGGGAAAGAAAAAATCTAAGAGCGAAAATGGCACATTTCTCTCTCGCCGTATCGTTGAAAACCCTCGACAATTCCAATAACGAGCTTTATCTACAGAAAGAGAGAGAGAGAGAGAGAGAGACTCCATCGCTTGGTCTAAATTCTTTTTCTTAACAAAATGATAAAAAAAAAAAAAAAGAGAGAAGAGAAAAAAAAAATTCCTCCTTGGTGTTATCGGAAGAAAAATAGGGAGGGCAGGGCGAGGGGTGGGAATGGTGGTGAGGAAAGTAAAAGGAAAAAAGAAACGACAGGAAATATTTAAAAACTAATCGAGATATAAGGAGATAAACAAGATGATAAAAGAAGAAAGCAAGGGAGAATAGATGTAAGTGTAAGTGTGTCTATACGTGTCTCTCTCTCTCTCTCTCTCTCTCTCTATATATATATATATATATATATATATAGAAGCAATCCAATTTCGATGACCCTAGCTCATAATTTCATCTATCAGTAGCCGCAAACGGGCATATACCCTGGTCGATACTTTCGCGAGAAGAAGATTTCGTTCCTTGGATACGCCATGAGATATAATGAGAGCCCGAAAAGCGTCACAGCGGCGTCTAATGTCGAAAATTATAGCATATTGGCAATAAAATCCCAAAGCAGGGTTTGCCCCAATAGCCAGGCCGGTGTAAGCATGGTTTCTAACTCCTCCTAACCATTGGGGGTGACCAAACACCGAGATTGAGAAGAGGAGAGAAGAGATGCGACGTAGGCAAGAGCGTAAAAGAGGCAGAGATCGTGGAGGGTGATCGGGAGTAGTGGGTGGAATGGATGATGGGTGGTGAGGGGAGGGGTTGGTGGTGGTGGTGGTGGTGGTGGTGGTGGTGCGGAAGGGAGGGATTGCTAGCTTATTGTAACGAACGTTGGAACCACGTTTTGCCATTACGGATAATCTTCTCCCGGGAGAATGTCCGATATTACCGTTGATATCGCCGATCGATAATTCGACTTCTTTTTTTTTTTCTTTTTTTTTTTTTTTTTTTTTTTTTTTTTTTTTTTTTTTTTTTTTTTTTTTTCATGTATGTACGTGGCAAATTTAATTTAAGACATATCTGGTCGATTATGAAATAAGAGAATTATATTGTGTTTGACATTTAACTGGTATGTAAAAAAAAAAGGAGGAAAAACATTTTTCAGGAATAATATTTCACAATGGGGAAATAAAAGGATAATAAATAAATAAATAAATAAATAAATGGGCTTGAAATCGATAAGTATTCGAACGATAATGGTAATTAAAAGAAAAGAAGAAGAAAAAAAAAAAACAAGAAAGAAAGGAAGGAAGAAAGAAAGAAAGAAAGAAAAAGAGAAGATAACGAAAGAACAGTCATGGAGAAAAGAGAACGAGGGAAAAATTAAAGAGAAAGAATTAAAAAGGAAAAAAGGAAATTATTGATAGCTAACGAATATCATTCATTCATGGTTTTCATACTCTTTGAGGGATGGGGAAAGGGGGGATTTGTTTTCCTCTTTCCCTTCTTTTTTTCTTTTTTCCTTTTCTTTTTTCTTTCTCTCTCATAAAACTTAAGCAGAATCATCGGATCGATCTTCAACGTCGAGTTCAATGTCCGAACATTGTGTCAAGACAGTTCTGGCATCGATTCTTCTTATTCTCATCCAACCGGACATTTTACTGTTATTACGTATCGATGATTTATAAGAGATCATGTCGGAATCATCGTCGGTATCGTCGTAATCATCGTACGTTCCTTCTTCGGAATTAACGTTAATGATCGCACCTCGTGAAAATAATTCGTTCGAGTCTACGTCACTTTCTGTCTGAAACACGTTGGGTATATATATTAATAATATCAAATGATAATATAAAAATTAATATATTAATATATTCGTACGAACGTACTCGATCGATCGTTGACGTACAATCTAATTCCTTATCATCGATAAACTTTGTATTATTGTCCGACGAGGTGGATTCCATGATGTTACTCTCATTATAGCTTGAAACTTTAGATACAGAAAAGTTCGATGTCGATGCAACTGACTTTTCGTCCGTCGATTTTCTACGAAGATAATTAGTTTTCCAATTACGATCTGTGGTACTCTTCGTAAAACCCGTACGTGTTAATTTCTTCAATGATTCGGATACTTTAAATTTGTTGCGCGTTCTAATCGAACAATTGGACGTTTCTTTTTTAATCCCATCCGATATCATCGACGTAGTTGACTCGTAACGCGATTGATCTTTAAACTTATCTATTTCCTCTTGCAATTGTTTAACCAAAAATTCATACTTCTTAATGGTGGCATCTCTGTTACTCTTGAACAAACTCATTTCACGTTCCTTACAAAGCAATTGGGTTTTAACTCGTATCAATTCATCCTTCTTATCGTCAAGATCATCGACGGTACGCTTTAATAACATACCATTATTCTCATAAATCGTCAATTGTGATTTAAGATTGTCAATTTCCTTTATCGAATTCTTTTCTAACTCTATACGTAATTCCTCGGAATTTATTAATTCCTTTCTAATCGAATTCATTTTTTCTTTTATATCAATTATTTCCATATCGAGTTCCTTGATTCTTTCTTTATTCGTCGCATTGATATGGAAAATATTAGTGAAATCCTTTCTCAGGCACGTTATCATCTCATCCTTCTTCTCTATCAAAGATACGAAATGTTTCAATTGCATTTCCAAACTTAATTGCATCTCCGTACGTTCCTGCAATTTATCGTAAAGTTCTTTCCTATCTTCGTTATATTTGGCAACGATAATCGTTAAATCGTTCAATTTATTTGTTAAATCGTATAATTTGTTTAAATCATTATTGGCAGTCATTAGTTTTTCATTAGCCACGTTCAAATCAATCGTTTTCGACGATAAATCTCTCTTGAGATTCGTCAATTTCGACAAATGTTCTATCCTACAATATGCCATTTGTAGATCCAATCTATGCTTCAGCCATTGCGATAGATCCTCCAAGGATTGACATTTAATGTTGGGAGATCGAAAAGATTTTCTCGTTACGAGTTCACTTTCTTCATTTTCTTCATTAATTTCTTTCATTAACAACGATCCATCGTTCGATTCATCATTCAGCATTGATCTTTCCTTTTCGTACATTTTTACGTTCAATGATTTCGATACTTTCTCGAATTCTTTCGATTCTTCTCGTAAAATCGATATATTTACATTTTTCTTTTCATTCGTATCATTAGAAATATCCTTCTTCCAATCAACGACAGATTCTTCGATTACAATGCCAGAATCATTTTTACTACTTTCATAGCTCGATCTTAATTCATTTAAAGAAAATTCCAATAGATCTTTGTTATTCTCATTGTTATTATCGATGACGTATGTAAGATCCGTTTGAATGAAATTTTTCTTATTTGTAATAATAAAATTCTCTTTGTTTTTTTTACAATCAACGTGAGCCTGAACGATCATATCCGTTGGTTCATTATTCGTACCATCACCAAAATATAATATATCCGTGATAGATGATAATCTTTCATCGGTATTCGAATGAATTCTTTCCAATTGAGAATGATAAATTTGAGAATGATCATTATCAACAGATGATATCTCCTCCAAATAATATGGCGGCTGTGGCGTATACGTATCCTTTCTTTCACATTCCATATATCTAACAACATTTTCCAATGCCTCGATCTTTTTCAACAATACATCGTTCCTATTTACGGCATCCATACACGCAATTTCGGTCTCATTCAATTCTCTCTCACACGATTCCAATTGTAACGTTAATGCTTTTATATCAATCGTCTTTTCCGTAAGTTCCTTTCTCAATTCATTTATTTCATTTAATTCGTCATTAATCGAATCGTCCACTTCTACGTTCTGATAGATCCTTAAATCTGATTTATTTTCATCGATAAATCCATTTTTCTCATCTATAACGTTCCTCAATTTAATCGTTAAATTATCAATATCATTGTCAACAATGTTATCGCGTATATTCAATTTCGAATTGACTTCAAGTTTATCGTGATCCTTATAATCCTTTAATTCTCTTTTAATAAGTACCAATTCCGTATAATATTTTTTATTTTCGATCATGACTACATTCTCACGTTGCAAATTATTCAATTCATTTTCCAAATCTCGTATCCTTCTTCTCATAGCTCGAGTATTTTCAGCTTGTAGATCTTTAGAAATCATGAGATCATCGTCATCATCGTCATCTTCGTTATCGTCATCGTCATCGTCGTCGTTGTCGTTGTCGTTGTCGTCATCGTCATTGGTCTCGCACACGAACGAAAGTTCTTCGTCTTTTTTACGATTCTTATCGTATATACATTCCTCTGAAATATTTTTTATCTGATCATCGATGATCGAAACGATTTTCGAACCTTCCTCGTGATCATTACGACGATCTATTTCGGATTCAATGATGACGTTTTCTTGACTAACAATTGACTTATTCTCGCCGTTTATCGTACTAAATGATTTAAATTCATTCGATATTATGGATTCATTGATCCTCGAAGTATCACAATTGGATTCCTTTAGGATAAATTTTAAATTCGATTCTTTCGTATCCGGCGTTATTTGTCTTGCCAAAGACGATACCTTCAATATACTTTTAATTTCATTTATAAATATCGACGAAGTATCGATATTAACTAAAAAGGTCACGTGCTCATTGCCGGACAATGCCCTTTGAAATATCCTCGTTAATTTCGATTCACGAAATGGACCGGTCACATGATCATTCATACATTTCATCGATTCTTTTTGCTGCTTTTTTCGAATAGTTTTTAAACATCTACCAAGGACCAATAAACTTTTGTTAATATTTTTAGTCTCCTTCAATCTCTCGGGATTTAATTCATTTAATTCTTTCGATCGTCCAGAACCAGCTAAATCATAAAATGTCAATGTACTAGCTTCGGTTTCATGAGGCGCATATTCCTTTTGATACTTCAACAATCCTATTGTAAATATCGTATGAGATCTCGAACATTTAGGATTTAACGTAGTAAACGTTGTACTCATTCTCGATTGGCCGGCAATTAAAATTTGACATGCCTCAAATGGCGTAGTTACATAGATCGTCGTTAATCCTTTAACGTATGTTGTACCATTCTTATCGCTTATCAATTTCAATGGATGATTTTTAAATGACGACGACGACGACGACGATGATGACGATGATTCCTTGAAATCGAGAAGATCGTAAATATTGTCATTATAGATCTCAGCGAATGACAACCAAACGGCATACATAAATTCGCCATTACACTCTAAACGTTTTCTTTCCGAATTTTCCAATGATTTTCTTGCTTCCATAAATCTTTCGTTATTTATCAATGGCGATCTCAATAATTTCGTTTTCTTTTCGGACTCCTCCAATCTTTCTTTATCGTCAAGGCTTATCAACGTATTATTGGAATAAAGTTTATACCATGGCATTAGGGTACAATTAATAGATGAAAATATATACTCGATTGTACGTGGAATTAAGCCAGGTTGATCTGGTGTACCATGAAGGGTATAAGTCTTCCCAGAATTTGTCGTACCATAAGTCATTATCGTGGAATTTTGTCCATTTAAAAAATCGACGATACGTTTTTTCATAATCTCCTCGAAAAATTCCTCTTGCGATATGTCAGATCGAAATATCTTCGTGAAGTAATATCTTTTGCCAATATTACGATCGATCAAGTTATTATCATTTTTAACATTGGCCAAATGAAATCTTGAATTATTTCGATTTACGTTAGCCTTGAATCTCGTTAACAGTGTCGTAGAATTTAATATCTCGTAATAATTTTCATTATCTTCGATCGATTCTATATTACTTGAAATTCTTGTTGATTTTGGTTTAATTTTTAAATATACTTGAAAATTAGGATAAGACGGCGAGTCGTATGAACTTTCAATAATCGAATTCTCCTCGTCGTAATCGATCGATCCCATCTCATCGGATTCTTCGATCAGAGGAACTTTATATTCGACTCGTGTTGATCCAACGATCGGCGATTTTAATTTATTATCATCATCGGACATCTTGACGTTCAACGTAATCGCGTTGCAATCAAATATTTAAATCTTATTAATATTTAACAAAAGGGATATATAATTGCGAAGATATCTTTTTTTCAACTGCTATAGAAACGCATTAATCGTTTCGATCGATTTTAATTAAATATTTTGAAATTATTAACGCGCGACGCGTTCTAACCGTCAAACCGAGATCATTGTCGATGTTTTGAGAAAATAAAAAAAATAGAGAGAGAGAGAGAGAGAGAGAGAGAGGGAAAGAAAAAAAAAGAAAAAATTAAGGAAAAATAAAAAAAGAAAATGAACGAAATCTTCGACACTAAAATTGACCAATCAAATATTTTAAACGTAAAACTTTTTGAACGTAAGCTTATTTCTTCTTCGAAATTTGGGTTAGAACGCTTATACTGTCCTTAATCGATGATACGAACACGAGTGATCCGAAGTTATCTTTGGACATATATATATATATATATATATATATATATATATATATGTATATATATATATATATATATATATATATATATATAAAAAGATCGATATTACATGAACGAACGACTCCTGACAATTGCCATGAATAATATTACATCGTGAATGAACACAATCGCGTACTACCGCAATAAACGTATACCGTACTCGAATTATTTTCATCCTATGCCGTGTATCGTTTTATTGTAAAAGGGGAAGAAAAAAAGAAAAAAGAACCGAGAAAAAGATCAACGAGAAGACAATTGATATGGTCATTGACCTTCGATGTGCGCGAGAGAAGAAAAAACGGAGTGAAAGTTTGAAAGGAGAAAAATGTAAAAAAAAAAAAAAAATTCGAAAATGCTGGAGAAAAAAATAAAAAAAAAAGTAGAAAGAAGAAAGGAAAAAAAGCAAGAGAGAGAGAGAGAGAGAGAGAGAGAGAGAGAGACAAAAAAAAAGCAAAAAATGAATAATCTGAGAGTATTATGAGTCGGCGGTGAGAGGAGGAGATGAGGAGGAGGGA